CCTGGGCTTCCCGCTGCACCTCACTCCTGACCCTGCTCCCAGGATAGTCCCAGGGGGAGCTGGCTAATCAGGCCAGATGCTGGGGCATGTGTCAGCCAGAGGGGATAGGCTGAGACCCACCAAACCGAGTTACACGTGTGAGTGAGGCTTTAGGGGCTGAACAGAAAGAGTGGGGCTCGACCCCCAGAAGGGCCTCCTGGGTGAGGGCTAAGCCAGAATCAGCGGCATCACTTCCTTATTGGCTTGTTTGGCCACCTGGCTCTATTTGCATAGCCCTTGCCACCTGTTCGGCAGCTGCTGCCAGGTCAGGCGCAGAATGCTTCACGGCTTTGCGTGTCATCCTCTCCCTGTGGCTTCTCCCAGGGGAATCCCCAGCTCTCCCTCCCTTCCTGAATGCTTCCAGCCCAGCCTTGATCATGGAGTTTGTGCTGGGGAAACCGGCAGCCCTGGTGCCTGAGTCATTAAATAGCTACACTGCACGGGCCGCCGGCGTCTTGCGACTGAGGCACTCAGAGCACCACGTAGCCTTTGCTCCTTCCCCAGGAAGAAGGGAGGGTGTGTGGGGGAGGTAGGGTTATCGCGCCCATTTCAGCGATGGGGAAACTGAGGCACGGAGCAGGGCTGGGACGTCCCCAAGGTTACGCAGTGAGTCAGTGGCAGAGCTGAGACTGGAGCCCAGGAGTCCTGACTCCCAGGCCCTTGCTCTGACCACTAGACAATGCTCTCCCCTCCCCCCCAACCCTCTCTTTAGGCCCCGAATGGGTGCAGCAAAGGCTGATGTCCCTCATAGCCTGCTCTATGCTGGTGGCTCTCAGCCCTGCGTGGCAGCCCCCCCGCCTGCCGTAGGGCCAGGAGGGGGCTCTGTCTCCAGGGCTCAACTCCCCACCCCGCAACACAGAAGGGCAAAGCCGTGCCCCATACACTCATTCCTCTGTGCCACCCGCCCCCCTCGGCCTGCGAGCGCGGCCACACCTCGCCGCCCCGTTTCTAACCAGCCTCAGGGCAGGGCAGGAAGAGGTGGGCGCGGCTCCTGAGTGGCGGCTTCCCTTAGGGGTCCTGATCCAGGGTGGAAAGATTCCTGTCGGCTGCCGTGGGTTCGGGGTCAGGTCCCCAGGGAGGGCATAAGGCTGCGGGGACGTGTCTCTGGTAATGGGGGTGTGGACGCCCCCTCTCCTCCATCCCTCCCTCACTTGGCCCCTGGGGATCAGAGGGTGTCAGCCTCCGTCTCCCCTCCGTCCCTCCGGGCTGGGAGCATCACTCCCTGCTCAGCTGCCTCCTGTGTGGTTGGTGGTTGTGGTGACTTCATCACGGAGACACTGGGCTCCGAGTCCCTCCGGCTGGAGGCGGCGCAGGGGATTTCTGCTGAGCCCATGTGGCTGGGAGAAGCCCCCCCCAAGCACAGAGCGTGGGCGCGGAGGGGGCGGGCATGTGGGTGCTGAGCAGCCAGCAGGTCTGCCAGGAGCTTGGGGGGGGGGGGGGTTCCCTGGCCCGGGGAGGATGAGGCAGCCTGCTCCTGGCAGGGCTCAGAACCACCCCCTGCCCACACAGCCTGGGGGAGTTGTGCTCAAAGGGCAGCTTCTTGCATGGCAGCGCCCGCCACGCCACCCCCTCGTTCCCCACGCCCACGAGCCGGGGGCTGCCCAGCCAGGGAGACGGGCGGATCTCTGGGCGGGGGGTCACCCCCTGGAGTCCCCCTGGCTGGAGTCTAACCAGCAGGCTAAGTGGGGGAGCAAGGCTTCATTGCCCATTCCCAGCCGCCGGGGAGGGGGTGGAGCTGGGAGTACATACTGGGGCCTTAATGACAGGAGTGCAGGGGCAGTGGCGACTGCAGGCCAATACACACAAGATGAGCACACGCCCATGGACACCCACACGCACGCATGCCCACGGGAACACGCATGGTCTAGCACATACGGAGCTGCACACCTACGGGATGGGCTCACCCTCAGGCTGCAAACAGGTGCCTCAAGGGCCCTTGCCACTGCTCCATGTGCAAAAGTGTGTGTGTGTGTGTGTGGGGGGGGGTGCACAATGACCCCCTCATCTACCTGTGCAACTGCATATGCATTTTATACACCTACCCTTTTTTCCCCAAATAGCCCCCCCCCATTTTCTTCCATATTATTTATTTAGGTTCTTCCAGTTTGGGGAGATTCGTCAGTTTCATGTTTGTTTCTTGGTTCCACTCGGTTGCATTTCCTGATTTTCAAGCTCTGGCACAAAGCTGCAAGGATGGGGGGGGGCTGCAAATCTTGCAGGTGGGGGGGGCGTATTTTTGTGCAGAGGAACCCTGACTCCATTAGATTCTCTCATGTCGGCTTCCTAGAAACCCTCCTCTTGTCTTAGCTCTTCACAAACACTTTGTTCCCTGCAGAAGCATCAGGGTTTCCCCTCAAGCCTGACTCCCTGCCCCAGCGGTGTCACAGGGAGCCCGGACCACAGGAAAGCAGCTGTTCAGCCTGGATTTCGCTTTCTGGAGGCAGGTCACACTCCAGAATTGAAAGCGATAGCTATGCCGAGGGTCGGCTTCACCGCAGTACGAGACAGGACACGGGAATTGAAGGCAGCTCGGGGGGGGGGGGGGGGGAGGAGAAGGGTGCACCTTCTCCTCGCTGCTGAGTGTCCAGGGCATGGCCCTAGCACATGGGCTCCCTACGCCCATGGAAAGACGCAGGCCCACCTATCAGTGTGTGTGTGTCTTCTCTGCAGCCCCGGTGGGCTTGCAAGTGTAAACCATCGCAGACTGGCAGCTAAGGGGACTAGCTGCAGCAGTGGAGAAAGGCGGATGCCTCTGGGCAGCCAACCCTAGCATCCCCTCCCCCCCCACTAACCCCTGGGTCAAACAGGCCCCCAAACCATGGGGCAGCTCACGCCTGTATTTCCTCCTGACCCATTACCTCAGCCAGTCAGGAGGAACCAGCGTGAGGCTCAGGAGACCCAGGCTGCACTTACCCCAGTCTTGCCCCCCCTCTGTACCTCAGTTTCCCCCCCTGCAAAACAGGGACACCAGCAGTGGAATAGATTTAAAGCACTAGAGCGTGATCTTGACTGGGTGGGACAGGCCCCCCCATTACACTGACGCAGCAGGGGAGGTTAGGCCAGATCTCCCATTAGCTGAGCCTGCGTGCACGGCTTGTTTAAATTACAGGCTACTTTTGCTAGCCTGTCACTGCTGCCCGTAGCCCACGATTGGGGCTGGTGCCCTTTTAAATACCTGGCATCTAAAAAAACCCCAGTGTCTAGTTCCCTGTTTATGCTGCACAGGCAGGGGCTGGTTTAGCTGCCCCCACCCTGCAGCAGAGCCATGGGGGGGGCTTTTCTGCCCACAAGGCTCAAAGGAGGAGGAGAGAAGTGTATTTTCCCCTCCCAATCTGCACACAACACTGGGCTAGGAATGCCCCAGCACAGGCAAACCACAGGTATATGCCTGCATGCGAGGGGGGAAGAGAGAAATAGTCTCGCCCTAGGACCAACCCTGCCCCATCCTTGGGGCCCCCCTCTAACCCTGCTCCATGAGGACCCAGAGCAGGGTCTGGACCCGCTGCCACGGCCCAGCTAGCCTGTGCTAAGCCAAGGGCTGGGTGTGCCCGCCCCCGTTGACCAGCTGCTTTGCCAGGAAGGGGCTAGCATGAGTTAGGGGCGTGTTCTGTAGCTGCTCCGTGCTTCCCAAGCTGCCAGGAGTCAGCGGCAGCCCCTGTGGAACCAGGCTCCTGCAGAAAGGACTGTAGGCAGAAACAGGTCTGCAGCAGCAGCTGTGGGGGCAAACCCTGCACAGGAAACATACAACCAGCAAGGGTTGCTTTCAGCTCAGCCTTGCGTTGTGGGGCGCACGCTCATTGACAGGGAGGGGCTGGGAGAAGACTTACTGAGGTGCACAGAAGTTTTAGTCAAACCTACAAGCGGATGATCTCAGATCCCACTTTTTTGGGGGGGGTGCGAGGGGGGGAGAAAAGGAGGCTTTGAGAGTGTCAATTTAAGGACCTAATTAGCACTTGGCTTGTGCTCCTTCCTCCACACCCTGAAACCAGACGAAATCCTGTTTCGCTGCAGCCTAGGCAGGAGGCTGCACCAGCCAGGCGCTCACATGGCATTTTGCAACAGGCCAGCCCCTTAATTGCTGCTTGTTTAAGCCTCTTTGTCAATTTACAGAAGTGGTGGCGCCTCGGAGCCAGAAAGCCGCAGTGTTTTGCAAAGAGTGAGAGAACAGGGCTGGCTCCTGGAAGCAGCTTTAAGAACACAACTACATCCTGATCCGATCACCGAGTACAGGACATGCTGCTCTGATGCAACACGCAGGGACCAGGAAGTGTCACAGCTGGAGGGGGGGGGGGAAGGAAAAATGCAAGAGGAAGTGATATTTAGATTTCAGAAATTTATTGCAAGTTCATCGTACAAGAATATATAGACTCAGACTCTTTTAGTGGCTCGAGTGCAAAGAAAAAAATTGCAATCTTGAGTTTATAAATATAAGACATTCGGTCCATTGAAAAATAAAGAGTTCATTTGCAACTGTCCTTTTCAGTCCTCACATCTTCCATCCACAACACAAAGCAGATGCAAAAAAAATAAAAATCCAGTCTCTTCCCCACCCTGCCACATTAAGTCCTTGGCAAAACGTGGCCATGCCCGCTCCCGCTGCAGAGAAAGGGAGCGGAGGGAAATCCAGTCCCTTGCCAGGGATCAGTGGCATCCACGCCCCACGCAGTCAGAGAAACACGTCGTGCCTTGCGTACAGGATTCAAGCGCTCCTCACATCCCAGGAGCGAGTCGCCTTGATTCAGTCATTCCCCCAAGCGCGTCTCCTGCCAGCCTGCTCCAGCGAGCTGCTCCTTTAACGGTCTCCACGCAGTCACAGCCCCTTCGCTACGGCCAGTCGCCCGGCGCACCTCCCTTTCCACGCACACCATCGCTGCCGGCCCATGCTCGCTCCTCTCCGTTACTCCTTAGCTTTGATTTTGATGGGGTGGTTTTTTATTTTTTAAAATGTTGTTTTTTTGGTTAAAAAAACAGGAATTCAGCACAAAACGAGAAGGCGGTGCCCAGCTCAACGCTCCAGCAGCGGGACGTAGGGGACCCACTGGTTATTGCCGCGGCTTTCTTCACAGTAACTGGCCACTTCCTCCAGCCCTTGGCTCTTCCAGGAATCGGTGTGGGGATTCTGGTGGGAGAGAACATACAGATCCAACCGTTAGCAACAAACACAAACTTCCTGGACGTCACCCCAGCCCATTCACGAGACATACTTGAGCGGTGACCCACACCACTGGCTGTTCGGGAATACACACATCACTGAAGCAGCTTGGCTCAGCCCCAGGTCACGTGGCTGCCAATTTTAGCCCTGCATCAGCACCACTGCACAATACAAGCTCTCCCCTACAGGCGGTGGGATTGGCTCCCAGGTGATGGACACCCACCCCTGCTCGGCAACCCCTGGCACCCAGCACCACAGGGGACTCACCGTCACTAAGATGCAGTGCAGGTCCCGGGGTTCGTTGTTGTCCTCCGAGCTCTCCCCGAGGACCTTGGCCAGCCGCTGCATGCCGGACACCCGCAGGATGTTGATGTCATTGTCGCAGCAGAATGCCTGGATGAGGGTGAAGTGGATTTGCAAGGCGATGTCACCCTCGTCTTCTTCATCAATGGCGAGGAGGCAAAGCACCACGCTGTCTGGATCCCTGCAGGCAAGGGGAGGAAGCAGGCGGGTCAGGATCAGGGGGAGACAGACCCCCACAAACTGACTGTCCATCTAAGGAAATGAGTCTCCTACCCCCCCCCCCCCCAGCTGCTGCTGAGCGACAGCCAATGGCAGAGCTGGTCCTCTCTTGCATCTTTCACACACAGATCCCTCCCACCGCACCAGCTCCAACAGATCTGAGCTGGGCACCCCCCCTTTCCACCAGCCACGTCAGCTGATCAGAGCCGGCACACGCCAGGGGCAGAGATACTTACACATTCATGAGCTTGGCCGACTCATAGACGCCGACTGTCAGGCAGTCCTGCCTCTGAGCCGCCACCAGCAGCTGTTCCACCGCCTCGCTCACCGTCTGCATCCTGGGGGAAAGAGAGGGGGGCAGGGGGGAGAACCACATTAAGGCTGGGCGGCTTGGGAAAGGCCCGCGGGCGGAGAGACACGGAGAAGGGTCTGGGCATCTGCTCCTGCAGCCTCGCCAAGGAGGGAGACACTTACTTTTTGGCGGTGTTGTCGCAAGCAACCAGCTCTTCCAGGGTCATGTTGCAATTATAATCCGCACCGGCTTGAAGTCGGGAGGGAGAAGCAGCCACCCGTAGCCCCCCAGCAGGCAGGAACCGTGCAATAATCCACTGGAGGAACCAGGCTCGCTCAACCTTCTCCGCGATGTCAGAAACGCCACCTGCGACTCAATCCGGTGTCACTCCGAATCAACCACCCCGGCTCCGCCAAACAGTCTCAGCGGCAGCAACAGCTGAAGGCGCCTTTTATTGCCTCGCCGAAGGGGGCGTGGCCTCTCCTTTCCTATTGGTTCTGCGGCCACAAAGGAAAAAAACCCGGTGCCAGCGGATTGGTTCTCGCTCTGGGGAAAATAGCAAGTGGCCCCCACGTGGGGCGGGGAAGTTTTGCAAGGGTTGGATTTGCTTAAAAAAAAAAAAACCACGAGAGAGTTTCGATTGAAATTTCCCAGCAGTTTTTGTTCCTGTGCTGGGCAGAGGCATGGGATTTCCACAGAGCTCTGGGCTTGCAGCCGAGGGGGCAGGTTTGCAAGCTGTTTTGTCCAGGGGGAAACAAACCTAGGCGAGATCCCTTGCTGGAGAATTTGGAGGGGCTATTTTTAGAGGAAATGACTATCCCAAGAGTTTGAATTCACATGCATGCCCTTGGAAATCCCCCCACCCCCCCGGCCGTCCGTCCCCGGGCTTGCTCTGCAGCCGTTCGGGGACAGAAATCACATCCAGGCGAGGATGCATTTTGCAAAGGAAAAGCAGGGACGTTTTATGCAAAGGGAGAATCGTTAGTCTGTGTGTGTGTGTGTGTCTATATTCCTAGGACTGAGCGCTGGGGCTGCAAACAGCAAACTTGTCTGGTGAATTCCCCGCTCTGCAAGGGTCCTTTGCCTCCCTTCTCCCCCATTTGAGCAGGAGTAGGCAGAAAACGAAGAGCACCCACTGTGTGTCGGGTAGGCGGCGGAGGGGAAAGGATGAGTTCATCATGAGCTTTTCGAGCCAGTCATGGTTTCTGCAGCTTGCAAAAACGCTGTGACTCGTTTCACAACAACCCCTGCAGCGTGCATCATGTTTCCTTGGCGGGGGCCTTTCCAGGTTGTCCCCTCTTTTCCGCCTCTGCGGCGCGGCTCAGACCCCAGGTGCGGGGCTGTGCAGACAAGACTTCATGGGCGCTGCTTCTGATGCACGCGCTGCCCGCTGCAGCCCGGGCTCGCTTCGGGCTCGCGCTCCCGATGGGCGCCGCTTGGGTGGCAAGATTTATTTCAGGCAGAGAATGAACCAACCTCCCAA